ACTGCATTTTGCAGGACCGGGTTCTACAAGGACCTTAATCATGCTTTTCTTCGTTCTGTCGCTTCTCTTTTGACTTATAGCAGCTTCCAAATTTGGTAGTGGTATAGCCTGCTATCAACGGGTAAGCAAAACAAACAAATAAATGAAGATGTGAGGGAAAAACTACAAAAACTGTATTTCTCCTTTTTTACGTATTCTATACTGTTGTATCTGTAGGTTCCATAACTAGTATGTGGAGTTTTAAGTATACATTTATTTGCTAAACTGCGTCGCCTTATTTGGAAATACAAATTGACGACTGCGAATTGAAAGCATGATAAAACCTGAAAATTTGAAGTTGCCATCTGCTGGCCAGATAGTAAATCACATTGTTAATGACCCATGTGTTTGATTTGGCAAAGAATTTACGTTGGTTGGAGAGGGTAGTCGACTTTTTGGCCAGATTGTTTAACACAATCCAGGTCAGTAAGAAACTTAAGGAAGGCAAAAGAAGTGTACCGTGTATGTGCAGAGCTGTAGTAACCACAGAGGGATAAAGTTGAATTAAGCTGCATTAAGAAGAGAGGTGACAATTAGCGAACAGTTTAGTTTCATGCCGAGAGACTGCCAGTTGCGATGATTGCTTTGAGGGTGTTGATGGAGAAGTATTGAGAAGGTCAGAAGGAGCTGCAGTGTGTATTTTGAGGATGTGACGAAACAGAGAGTGCCAAGAAACTAACGTGAGGGTGGTGCAAGACATGCATGAGGACAGCGAGACAGTGGTGAGGTGTGCGATAGGAGACTGATGGATTACAACGGGGATCGGCTCTGAATCCGTTGTTCTTTGCAATGGTGATAAGTAGGATGACAGATGATGATGCTGTCAGGCAGGAGTCTCTGTGGACTATGATGTTTGATCACAACATTGTGATCAGTAGTGACATTAGGTAGCAGATGAAAGAGAACCTGGAGAGGTGGAGGTATACTCTTTAGAAAAGAAGAAAACAGTCAGTACAAGTAAAGCAACATACCACGTGTGCAAATGAAAGGGGAACAGGTGTAACAGTGAAGATGCAAAGTGTAGAGATAGTGAATGTGGACAACTTTAAATACCTGGGATCAACCAGCCAAAGTGATGGACAGTACACATGAGTGATGAAGAAGAGAGTGCACACAGGTTGGAGCAGGTGAGCATCAGGGGTGAAAGGAATAGCACATAGTGAGGCCTGCTGTTATGTATGGATTGGAGATGGTGGAACTGAAGAAAAGAGTTGGAGGTTTGGAAAGTTGAAGTTTAGGTTTTTGCCGGGGGTGACCAGGACGGACAGAATTAGAAATTAGTTTATCAGATGGACAACTCAGGCTGTTTAAGATGGTTTGAACACGTCCAGAGGAGGGATAGCAGATATACTGGACTGGAATATGTAGATGTCAGGCAAGAGGAAATGAGGAAGATCGCAGAGAAGATTCGTGGATATAGTGAAAGAGGACATGCAGACGGAGGAGGATGCTAGAGATGGGATGAGATGGAGACAAATGTGCTAAACCCTAATGGAAGCAGCCAGAAGAAGATCTGTTGGTGAGACAAGCCTGTTGCTAGGAGAAGGGAAAAGAACAAAAACCTGACCCCATGGTCACCATCGAGTTTAGCTAAGTTAAGGCAGTAGTGGTTAAAAGTTACATCATTTCTGATCAGCTGACAAAATATTTTAGTAAGTGAATTTAAAATAATTGTAAAAAAGGGGGAAAGAAAGGTATATGTTTTGTTGAATAATTTTTGATCTGGATTGTTTGGTGGTAAATAAAACTAAAAGTACTTCATTTGGTGACAAGAGGATATTAGTAACAGGCCTATTTCATAACAGACATCCTCACAATTGTAGAAGGAAAATGACAGCATCTTTATCACATTACCTGTGGTGAGTGAGGCATCATCAAGACTGAAAACTAAAACTTAAAACACCAAGACTGAAATGAGTCTTGGTGTTTTAAATAAAAATAATTAAATAATTCATTTTATTATTTGGGCCTACAGATGCTCACATTTTCTACTGTGGCTTGTGATTTGTAAATTTGTAAGAAGTTTCAGGCTTTGCAGTGTTACGACAACTGATACCAAATTGTGCTTTCAGGAAGCTGGATGATTTTTCACGCTCACAGAGTGACAGTGACTATTTGCAACACAAATTTGCAGTTTTGCATTAAAGCACCACCACAAAAACTCAAAGTAAGAACCCATTTATATAAAACAGTAATCATATATTTACTATTGATACAATAATGAGGGTCCTGGGATGATATTCAGGGCCTGAACTGATTGTAGAAGTTTGGCTCTTTACTTTTGAGAGGAAAACTCTTTTTAGAGTAGTCTAGTGGAGAAATTGTGATACATTTTCAGTTTACTTTTTTTGCGTTAACTTGGTTTACTCTGGAGATATGACACCTTTTCCTGTTTTGTACCAGTGGTGTGCATACTTTGTGTGCTACTGATACAGAGCTATGTAGATTGTGAGTTATGTGGCGCAAGTATGTGTCACACACAGATAAATACATAATGCTTGACATTTAATCTGTTTCTATGCAGTTGTTTTATTAAAATTGTAATTTCTGAATTAGTTCAACTATAAATGAAAACACTAAAGTTAACTTTAAAGTTGCTCAAATTTGTGCAGTTGCAGTGAACTTACGACCTGAACTCAGTGGATGGCCTACTCTTCTTCACATTCGAATAAGAAGATATCCAGGGGAAATTTCTGTTTTGCTTTCATTATTATTATTACTATTATTATTGTTTTGTTTTTTTATTCCTTCTCTAATTTGACATATCCAAACATAGATTTAATTGAAAAGCTCTCTGAGCTCTGCTTCATTATTGTCAACAGGCACCAGAATAAGGAAAAGGAAGGCGATAACGCAATGTGTGTGTGTGTGTGTGTGTGTGTGTGTGTGTGTGTGTGTGTGTGTGTGTGTG